GTAGTCCAGTGGTGGCGAACCTATGGCACGGGTGCCAGAGGCGGCACTCAGAGCCCTCTCTGTGGGCACGCACGCCGTCGCCCCAGTCCTAGGCCTTCAGCTGGGTTTTATAAAACCTTTTCGCTTTAGGCCTCCGCCGCCGTGTACAAAAAAAATGTTTCAATCAATCAGTCAATTTCAATTTCTCGCAGGGAAAAAAAAGATCTTCCAAAGTTGGAATTGATTGATTGAACTTTTTAGTCCCACCCAGTCTGCTGTTACCACCATAGCCACGCTCACCCAATGGGCCACACCCACCCGGCACCCGACGATGCATAAGTGGGTTTTGGGTTGCAGTTTGGGCACTCGGTCTCTAAAAGATTCGCCATCACTGATGTAGTCCTTTACCAATCTCTCAAAACACTTCATCGAAATGGAAGCGAGTACAACTGGATGGTAATCATTAAGGCATGTGATTTTAGTTTTTTTGGGCACTGGTACAAATGATTGCAGTCTTAAAACATGATGGAACCACGGCCTGATGCAACGAGAGATTGAAGATGTCTGCGAGAACAGTGGCCAGCTGGTCAGCACACTCCTTAAGTATTCACCTAGGGATATTATCGGGACCCGCAGCTTTCCGAGTGTTGACTTTCCACAGGACCTTCTGAACAGCAGTTGTATCAAACCTGAGCACCTGTTCATCAGGAAGGGGAACAGCCTTCCTTGCTAGAACATTGTTTGTGGCCTCAAGCCATCCAAAAAACATATTTAGCTTGTTTAGAGAGTCTGTGTCACCCTTATATGTCAGGGAAGCTGCTTTATAATCAGTAATTACCTGAATGCCTTGCCACATATGTCTCAGGTCCATAGGATCTTGAAAGAAATTCTGCACTTTCTGACTATAGGCCCGCTTTGCTGATTTTTATAGCACGCCTCAAATCAGCTCTTGCTATTCTAAGTGCTGCCGCATCACCTGATTTGAAAGCTGTGTTTCTCACCTTCAACATTGCGCGGACCTCCTGTGACATCCAAGGTTTCTCATTTGCTCACATGATAATAGACTTAACACTGACATCCTCCATACACTTTTGGATACAAGCAGACACAATAGAAGCATACTTGTTCACATCAGTATGTTGTCCATTCGTTGCAGCATCTTTAAATATGTTCCAATTTGTGCACCAAAAACAGTCTCCCAGGCGGGAGATTTTTTTTGCAGAATAAATTTCAAACCTTGTCAGATGTTATTACAAGTGCCTCAATTTGAATGGCGATTATGTCGAAAAGTAATGTAATGTAGTTTTCTAATGTGTATAATAGAAGTTCTTTATCCGTGAGTGTCTGTCATTGATAACCAAATGGAGGTTTATTTCCGAATTGCCCTCGTATGCCTTGTCTCCAAAAACAAAAACAAAAAAACCCCCTCCATGTGGCTAAATTTTAGTGCTATCATTTTCATCCATGTTAAATGTTTCGGGTGGGGTGTGAGTTAAGTGTGGAAATGGGAGTAATTTGTTTCTCTGAGGTCTCTTGCCCTTGTCTCCATTCTTATTCTTCAAAAGAAACCTTCAATACTGATTACTGCAAATCTGTTGTTTTGCCATCAGGTTTCAGTGGCATTTTTGTGGGTTACCTAGCCTGCATAGGATTTTTATTTACATTTAAATGTAATACTCTAGGCAGAATCCATTATCCAAGCTTGCTAAATCTGTTTCATAAGGGAATGAGAGAAGCTATAATAGAGATCAGTTTTCTTTCTTTTTGCCTCCCTCTACTCCTACAGTATTATGTTTTTTATCCAGTACTTCTAGTAGTTTTTATTGCTTCCTCTGCAGTGTAGGCGGTTTTCCATGTCATACGTGAACTTTGCCAGAAATTTAAACCTTTTTTGCACAGCAGATCTGTAATTTAAAATTAATGAAAAAGGAAATAGAGGAGCTGTGTGCAGAATTGTGATGCATTGCAGTTTTACCTGAAGAATTATAATGTGCAGCTCTGAGTAAAGACAAGAAATCAAATTTTAAAGTATCTGATGCAGATATATATTATCATAAGCTCGTGAAAAAATAAGCAGACTTATTATTCTTCCCATGATTTTTGACAAAAATGTAAGCAAAGATAATATTTCAGAATTTTTGCTTCAAATTTTTTAAATTCTTCCAGCAGCCAAATATTTATCAAGTTAAATTAAGCTACAATTCATTTGCAAAATCAAAAATCTATAACCTGTTATAATGTCATAGCATATTAATTCCATAAATATAATGGTATTTGTAATTTCCCCCTTTTGGTTTCTCTGCACAGTAGCTATCTGTTATGATCATAGATTAGGGGTTTTGATAGGGTTTTACAAATCATGGCATATAAAACAGTTGGGTTCTTGCCATATCTTAAAGTTCTCTTCTAATCATTGCAGAGATAGCAATAAGAACTCTTACTGGTCTGCAGTCTTTATTTGGTGGGGCTAGGCTTATATGTCCATTGGCGGTTACTTTTGAAAGTGCCAAGATTGTGGCAGCAAAACTGCATCGTCTAAAATCAACCCTATTTTTAATTACCTCAACAAGAGGAATGTAGTTAAGTTATGCTCATATTGGATCTTTGACAGGAAAGTGCTATCAATTACATGGATTCTTCATTACTGTTATTGAAAGTTCATCCATGAAAGAAAATATTTCATAGGGAAACAGCAGCTGATGATGTTCAGTTTATTGACTATATATCTGAAGGGAAGACTTGGAATATTTTATTCCCTGTGCTTAAATTGATACATATTTTAATCTCTGATTGGCCATAGTAGACCTTGCAAAGTTTCACTCTTGCAATGAATGATATTCCCCTGAGATGCAGCACATTAGAAATACTACCAGTATTCATAACCTCTCTATTCTTTGTCACAACAGTAGCACAATTCATCTAAATCTTCAGCTTGGCCCAACTGTTCAGAGTATGCCTAGCCTTGCCAGTTTTTCCAGTTGGAATCATTACAACAATCTTGCTTCTGTTACAGCATCTCACATTGTAATTGGGATAATTTGGTATTGTCAAGAAATACTGTGGCCTGTCTTTCCTAGAAAACTGTTTTGTTTATGGTAGAGCTTCTTTCTCCAGTGCCTTTGATATTGATCAAGACCTGAACACCATAACTAGAATAATTGCTTGTGGTAATGATGTCAAGACTGTCTTAGTTGCAATGTTCTCTGATGTCTGAAATGTTTTACTGGCCTCAACCAGCTCACTGAGTCAGCTCATCTGTCCCACTTTGTTTTTCAGTTCACCTGCAGTCTCCTCTCTGAGGATCATGTTGTAGTCAGGGGCCAAATCTCCCTTTGCTCACAGGAATATATATCATACATGGAGCAGATTATGTCATGGCCTTGGTCTGGAGATCACACAGACTATTTAAGATTCAGTTGGTGCAGCATCTGTTTTAATGACTATGCAAATTCCAATGTTGTCATTTTTCCTTAAGATTATTGTTACAGATAAAATGTATATGCTGCTTCATTTAGAGCAGGGGTGTCAAAGTCAATTTCATTGAGGGCCGCATCAGCATTGCGGTTGCCCTCGGGGGGCCAGGTGGGTGTGGCCAGGGTGGGTGCGGCCTACTGGGTGGGTGTGGGTGTGGCCTACTGGGTGGGCATGGCCAGCTCTACATCGTTCGTGTCAAGGGTGCCTGTGGGGGCCTGGGCAGGAGTGGGACAGATCTGAGGGTCTCTGGCAGAAGGTGGTGGGACCGAGGCAAGCGCCAAGGCATGGTCCATTTCTTCATTCCTCACAAAGGATGACACCTCCCCAGCATGCACCCAGGGAGCGGGGCCAACGCAGCGGGCTGGTTCCTCGCTGTTTCTAGACAGCCTTGTGGAGCTAAGACTGAATGTGTTTCAGCATAGATGGCCACCACAAAATTGTACATTGGCTCCCGGCCGGCCAGGGCCAAGGAAGCGGGGGCCATTCCCTCACTGTTTCCAGGATGGCTTCGTGGGCCACATGAAACCATTTTGTGGGCCGCATCTGGTCCCCGGGCCTTGTGTTTGACATGTCTGATTTAGAGATTCTAAACAGTTTACAATTAGTACAGCCATAGTAAAATAATAACAAAAAAAAGCCCACATGCAATAGTTGGTATCATCTTCCATTCCTGAAAATTAACACAAACCCCCTCATAAAAACCCACTGACTCAGAGCTTTGAAATAATAAAGTTAGTTCCCCAAAGGTTCTGTGGAACAACATTTTAAAAATTACCCTCATGGAACAAAGAGGGAGCTTCTGAATGTTATTGGAAATATTAACTTCAGAGGCACAATATTCCAGAGAGTGGAGGCCATCACAGAGAAGGCACATTTTCAGATCCTAACCCCATCCATTTCTCAGTATGCATAGCAGCATTGCCTTCTCTGATGCTTGATAGGCACATAAAACATGGAGTAGAAGTTCTTGAAGTATCTTGGACCCAATCCACGTAGAGTTTTATAAATAATCAGCATTTTGAGCTGTGCCCTGTAACAAATTGATAACCAGTAAAATGCCTGCATCAAAGATATATCTTGTCTATACTGGCCATCATCTATGAGATAGGGTGCTGCATTTTGCAGCAACTCTAGGTAGTCTTCGACTTACAACAGTTCATTTAGTGACCGTTACAAGTTACAATGGCACTGAAAAAAGTGAGTTATGACCATTTTTCATACTTACAACCGTGGTCACATGATCAAAATTCAGATGCTTGGCAACTGACTAATATTTATGATGGTTGCACGGCTCCGGGGTTGTGTGATCACCTTTTGTGACCTTCTAACAAACAAAGTCAGTGGGGAAGCCAGATTCATTTAACAACCATGTCACTAACTTAATAGCTGCAGTAATTCATTTAACAACTGTGGCAGCAAAGGTCATAAAATGGGGCAAAATTTACTTAACAAATGTCTCGCTTAGCAACAAAAAATTTGGGCAGTATTGTGGTGGTAAGTTACCTAACCTAAAAATCTGTTGTTGTACTTTCTCTTTCAGAATCATAAATAGCTAAGCCTGCCTGTCTGAGCATCAGCATTTCCTTTCTGCAGTGTTCAGAACTGAAGAGAAAGGGGGAACCATCTTGCATGTCCTCTGCTGTTGGATGGGGTAAGTTGCTTGCCTAAATACCTAGGCTTTGGGAAATTCAGAGTAGACTATTTAGCTGACATGTAATGAATTCACAATTGATTATTCAACTAACTTTAGCTTACAGGTAGGCCGGCAGGTTTTGTTTTGTTTTTTAATTTAAGCAAGTTACGTGCTCTGTCTTTATTAAAATCAATCATAAAAATGTGTCTGGGGAATCCAGTTTTGTTTTTCTTATATTTCTTTTTAAGACCAAAGATGTAGCCCATTTAGTTTCCCTGTTCACTATAAATAATAATGCATATCCAGTTTTAAGATGATTTATAAATACTACTTTTCATGCAACATTTGGCCACGTGTAGCTCATAAGGGCAAAGTAAGAATTTATGACATACTCATTTTGCATTTCTGCAGTGACTGAAAAGTCCCTCCCCTGTATTCTTGTGTACTGCACTGCATCTTCCTTTTCTGGTCCTCCCTGGTCTCGTACACATGCACGCAATGCCCTCCTTCCTTAGGCCTCCCTGCACTTGCATGCATCCATGCCTGCAGCACCTCCTCCCCCAACTATGTACAGCCTAGCCTGTGCCAGCCTTCCCAGGGCCTCCCCTACCCCCAACAGTAACTCCACAGCCTTTACTTGGGACTCCCATTGCTTCCTGCTCAATAACCCATGTGTCTTGTGATTATGACATCAGCCAGGGCTGCTTGGATTGCCAGTGCTAAGTGATGCGCTCACATGACTTTGTATTTTTTGACTTCATCACTCAGCAGTAGCAATCTTAGTCATTTCTGCTGTTGTAACTCAAGAACCACCTGCATAGGTTTCATTTCCTTTTGTCATGTTTTCATTCAGTTTGTTTTTCTGTTATCAGTGTAAGATCTCAGTGCAAGGGAAATATGTTCTTATCCTGAGAATACCTACAGGTTTAGTGAAAAATATTGGTAAGGGGCCTCTCATTTATAAAGCAGCCCAATTTAGTGTGTGTAACAATATGTACTGAATGAGAGTAGAACTAGGTCTATCTAAAGCTATACTAATAAATAGATCTTTCTTTTCCACTGGCACTCATATATGTTTCAAATAGCAGTTACGAATCACCACTTCATCGTCCTCTAGCCACATGTCTGTAAGGTGTGTTGGGCAACATCTTCAGTCCTCCTTAGCCATGTGGGTTTAAGGGTTAATTACTCCCCCCCCCTTTGTGCTAGTTTGTTCTAAGTCATTCTTTAGACCAGGAAAGCTAATACAGAACTTCCTTTCTGCTTGTAGCTGGTGTCCAAACTTATAATACATCCCGTGCATTTCTGATAGGCTATTTGCTTCCTGTCTTGCTTCCTGCTCACCAAGTTTTCATCTTTCTATGCCTCCTTTTGTTCTTTTGTTTGCCTAGAAAATATTGTCTTCCTGTTTAAGTTGAAGTATAAATTTGCCTAGCAATTAAGAGAGGACCAGTTCCAGGTATATGCGTTTTTAAAATGTATATCTAGATTTATAGCTTAAGATATCCAAATTGTGAATTGTTATTTGGGTCTCAGTTGTTTCATTTCTTCTATGTCGAATGCCGTCCTTCTTTCAGTGCTCTACAGAATGTAAAAGTTGTAGTGTTTATTAACTTTTCATGTTTTACTTGTATCTTAACTTTCATTGTCCAATAAAGCCCTATTCACATGGTGCATTTAAGTATTTCGCTAAATACAGTAGCTAAAGTATAAATACATTATACTTTCATTTCATTTCAAATAAGGTATTAAAATGCAGATTGGCTTCAATAGTGCATTAAAGTGAGATACAGATATTAATTACAAATTATATCAGCATTTAACTTAGTCTCTTCATTTTTTCCTTTCCTGGCACTTTCCAAAAATGACAGCAAGAAGGAGAGTGACAGAAAAAAGGCCCTTACATTTAAAATACACAATGAAAATGTCATTAGTCTTCTGCTGATATAAAATTATGTGGCAGTAATCGTGACTACAGCTAATATTATCATGGAAAAAAGTGGATAGCATTGACAATGTCAAATGTCCTATAAACATTTATGTGCACATAGCCTGAAATTTATAATGACTAAATGTTATATCTGGGCTAGTTTAAATCTATAAAAGGCTTAATTTATTTATAAATAGTTTTTGCTTCTGAATAATAGCATAACTATTTAGGATATTCTGTAATGAGTAGATGAATATTAATAGATCAGGAGCAGAGACATTAATCCTTTGCTATTTGTATTCTGGAAATAAAATATAAAAGCGTTTGATTTTTTTTAAAAAGGGAAACAAATTGAAAGATCATATTTATAGAAAAAGTAAAAAAGAATTTTAAGATAAAGTTGGAATATCCTGCATCTTTATTAAACTAATGTCTGTGTAAACTAGTAACTTTTTTCTTTTAATTTTTAGTCTCAATTCATAATGTTTAATTCTAGACTCTTAACTCAAAGGATAAAAGGAAATAGGCAAAATTAAATATTTTAAAAACATAATCAACATTATTCTGAACATAATTTTTGTCACAGATACAGATTTAAAACCAAAACACATTAAATGTCAGATTAAGATTACCATTGTTTCTCATCCCTATATATATTGATAGTGGTTGTTCAGAATTTGGAATCTAACTTCTTTGCTGGTTATTTCTTTATTTATGGCTGCCATATTGAAACCTTATATTATAACCCTGAATAGCATACAAAAATCAACAAGAAACACAAAACCTATAGGAAAACAATGGATAACATTAAAGCCAAACTAATACAATAAAATGACCCGTAGTAAAATATATTATAACATATATGTTTAAGACTCTGCTCATGATGACACAATACTTAAGGAAAAAGCCAGACCTTGATTGACTTTCTAAAGGCCTGTAGGGCAGGGGTCCTCAACCTTGGCAACTTTAAGACTTGTGGACTTCAACTCCCAGAATTCCTCAGCCAGCAAAGCTGGCTGAGGAATTCTGGGAATTGAAGTCCACAAGTCTTAAAGTTGCCAAGGTTGAGGACCCCTGCTGTAGGGTCTTCCATGTTCATCATTCAAACCTGGACTAAATAGAGTGTTATAATAAATAGTAAACTGTAACAAAGCAGTGGAATAAATGAATCTGGTAATCTGATAATACTCAATATGAATAATATATTTTAAAAGGGATTCAAAGAAATATTTCAGAAATAATTTCATTATTTAAAAATAATTTCATTATTTTGTATTCATGACATTTTAAACGTAGTAATTCTTGAGGCTCTGTACAAAGTAATCCTATATTAAGGCAGAAGTTTATAGAGCAAACCTACACTGCATTCAGAAAGTATTCTGAAGTATTCAGAAAGACCCCCCTTCACTTTTGTCATTTTTTTATGCTGCAGCCTGATTTTACAGTTATTGAAAATCATTTTTTTCCTCATTAATCTACACTCAGTACCCCATAATGACAAAATGAAAACAGAATTTTAGAAATGTTTGTAAATTTATTAAAAAGAAAAAAAACTGAAATAAACAGCATAACAAAATTGACAGAAGTGAAGGGGGTCTGAATATTTTCTGAATGCACTGTATATAAGAATAGTAGTAGATCATGGAGATCTCAGGAAAGGAGAATAAAAAAACCCCCAAAATATCAGGAAAGAGGTGAGGAATACTGGCAAAGATTAGTGATGAATTGAGAAGAATGTTTCATAGACAAGTTTCCCTTTAAAATCATTATAAAAGGAAAATAAGATAGCTCTTATTTGAAAGACAGTGTTTATATTGTATAATAAATGATACATAGAGCAAGGCAAAGGATGAAAGATGAAAGAAAGTACATTGAATTGGATATTAAGCAATCCACACTTTATTAAGCTTCCGTTCCTATGGATTTCTCTACTCATCAAATCCGATTGAGAAGTATGTCTCCCAGGATCCTGGAGCATATTTGGGAATCTTCTAGAATTGTTGCTAGGAAGAAAGGTCGCTTAATCCTGTAGCCCAGTGCTTCTCGATCTTTATTCACCAACCCTTTTAAATACCTTTTGTGGCCACAGACCATGACCACAGGCCATCAAGACTTAACTCAAGATTTAATCATAACATTTCTTGAAGCCTTTGTGGAGCACCTGTGATGACATTTCTGTCCCTCAGGGGTCCACGGACCACAGGTTGAGAACCATTGTTCTAGCCTAAGCAGTACAGTGGATTGGATTGCAACTAACAATTCAGTTCAGTTAACAATTCAGTAAACATAGTGTTGTCAAAACAGTGTAGGAAATATACAATGGTTCATTAATAATAATCTCCTCTCAGTTTTATTAGAATGTTACTATTACTATGTACTGTCTCCTTGCTAATAAAATTCGTCAGGTTGTTTTTTTCTTTTATTAAAAAAATATTCAGGTAGTTTTATATTTTTCTGCTGATTTCATACCAAGAGCTAATTATCTCAAATAGCATTGCCAGGTTTGTTCAGTGGCTTGCAACATAGAAAAAGGGTTCATAAAAATTGTAAAATATTTAAATATTTAAAATAAGCAGAATTTTAGTAAGTAGAAAAAAAGGGTTTAAAAGATAAGGGAAATGTTAACACTGAAATGTTAACTAATTAACACATGATACTTAATAATGTAATATTTATTTATTTAATTTATATGCTGTGCATCTCATTGTGGAAGGGACTCATTTAGTATGCTTAATTTAATTTTATATTGCTTTTTTTAAATAAAACTAGTCATCCCTCCATTTGTGGAAAGCTGCTGATCCAAGAGAGGAATTGTAATGGTAGAAAACATCTTGTTTATTGATGCTTTCCTCCCTGTGCAGCTTCCTAGGCAAATTGCACATAGAATAGTTAGTAGTTAATGCATTAGACCAGTGTTTCTCAACCTTGACAATTTTAAGGCATGTGGACTTCAACTCCCAGAATTCCACAGCCAGCCATTCTGTGGAATTCTGGGAGTTGAAGTCCCCATGCCTTAAAATTGTCAAGGTTGAGAAACACTGCATTAGACAAAGACTGGGGAGACTCTTAGCCATGGTTGGATGCCCAC